TTTTGAAGCTTTGGAAGGTTCAAAGTCGGAGAAACTTGAGAGGAAATGACGTTGTGTGCTGCCAAGGTGCTAAAGGAATGAAGGGAAAGGGGCTACCCTTTATATAGGGGTAAGGGTGCTGCCCAAAAGAGTGTGTGCTGCCAAGGGAGTGGGTGTGTGGCCGCACACCCGTGTGTACGGCCGTACACTCCTCCAAGAGGTGTGTATGGCCCGATTTTCTCACTATTCAACACTTCGACTCATTCCTAAACTCAACCTTGGTTATATACAAGCTTAGAACACTTAAATGACCCCTTGAATAACACTAGAAATCGACAAAACAAGTTGAATAATGATTGAATTGATTAATTGTACAAGATTGAAGTTCCGGGTTGTCACAACTTCCCACACACTATCTGGCTGCTAGTGAATGTTACGGCTATCCCTCAGTCTTACAACACTTCCCATACTATCTGACCGCTAGTGAATGCTACTGCTATCCTGCAGTCTCACAACACTTTCCACGTTGTCTCAATCGCTGATTACCAATCCGAACACATCCCACATCGAGCACACACACTATCTCATCATTGGCAAGTTTTCCAAACTTCCAACTTACACTATCCTCAATCCATACAGCCGCTTGGGCTTTCTTCCTTCCTGACAAGGATGCGAAACTTATCCAAATTTCAAAACTGTTCCTGCTTCTGAATCCATGGATGATTCTCCCCCACTTAGATTCGACTAAGTCTTCACAATACATGAAAATTGAAGTGGCGGCTGCTGCAAGTTAGGGTTAGGGTTTGTGTCGAAGAAACGAGGGGGAAGGGGTCACCGGGTATATCCCGTCCTCTTTCAAACTTTGGTTCATTTGTCCAAGATCAGTCCCTCCTCACAATATTTGTTTTCAATTTAAATCTAAAATTTACCCTTTAGCCCCTGCTTCCATAATTCCTTTCATAATAAGTCCAACAATTACCAATCGTACCCTGACTTCTAAAATCCTTTCCAAATTAAATCCAAAATTTACCAAACAACCCTCAGCCTTCAAAATTCTTTACAAACTAATCCGAAAATTACATTTTAGCCCACAAGTTCTCAATTATGACTTTTTAACCCCCAAAACCACCGCCTTGCTAAATTATTCCGCATTTAGGGCTACTATTTATTTATTAATTTTATCTATTTATTTATTTAATAAGCGGAATGTTACATGTTCAGTGGGAGCAAAAGGAAGATCATCAGTTCATTGAAAGCACATCTGATTTTGACTGTCGAGATAAAAGATCCCGTGCTCTGGTTCTAGAATAATCATATACTGAATGGGTTCAACACCCACTGGCAATTTGTTGTTGATGTATCTGGTGCCATAAGGAAGAAGAAACTTGGTATTCTTGGGCTGTCTGGGAGCACCTGTTCTTCCTAATGAGGCTGATCTAGATGAACTAGCTGATGGACCAGCGGATGACACAATATTCAGTTTCTTTACTTTGTTGAGAAGATGCTGGATTGCCAATGTCACATCCTGAGCATGAACACCCTTGTGTTTGTTGAGGATTTCTAGAACTTTCATCCACTCGTTGTAGCCAAATTTGACTAGCTCACGAGCAAATACAACCTCAGTGTATTCAAAACCTTCTCAAGTGAAGCTTTAGTGACTCGTTCTTTGGTTTGGTTCATCTTACTTTGATGATGGGATCAGGATTTGTCCTATGATTCAGAACATCTCCAAACTTCTTTCTATCGATCTAGTCATTTAGGTCTGTAATAATGTGTTGCTTTTCCACATTGTTATTGAAGATCTTCTTGACCTGATTATCAGTGCTTTGAACATCATCACTTTCATCAGTGGAAACAAGTTCTTGAACAAGTTTGACAGACAAATGTTCTTGTTTTCTAGATTCTTTCTTTTGTCAAACAGCAACATTGTATTCCAACATGATCTGTCTAACTCAGTGGCCGATAGACTAAGGTTATATAATTGGTATTCGATTTTTAGAAGACACCCTAGAGGAGGTGAAGATTTGGTCCAATATACTTCATTAAGGTCTTTTGTTGGCCACATTGTCCTTGGTGATAATCAAGACTCTTGGTTGTGGTCTATTAATGATTTTGAGGGTTATGCACTTCCTTCTGCTTGGACTTTGATTGATTCCCAATTTTTGGAGACATCCTCTCAATCCACTAGATGGAATCATTTCTTTCCTTCCAAGGTTAATATTTTGTTTTGGAGACTACGTCTGAATAAAAACAAGAGTGAATTTAGTTAGACAAGGAATTAATATTGGTTCCATGCTTTGTCCTATGTGTGGCAATGATGTTAAGATCGTCAACCACTTTTTATTTTCTTGTGGTATGAGAATGGATTGATGAAGTCTTTTGTCCAGATGGTGGGAGGTGGATATGCCAATTTTTTCTTCTATCTCGGATTGGTTTTCTTGGATTGACTCGACACGTTTTTCTCTTCAAGCTAAGCGATGTTTGGAAGCGGTGGTTAATACCATGTTTTGGACATTATGGTCTTTTCAGAATAGATTACTGTTTGCAAAAGAAAAACTTCTTAAGGTGTTGATTTGGGATTCTACCAAATCTCAAATTTTCTTTTGGATTAATTCTAGATGTTTTAAGTTTAGAGTTAAGTGGGTTGATTGGGTGAAAAACCAGTCTTTTGTAATCCTTTAATGTACTTTTTTTTCCAGCTTTTGCTAGTTTTTATATAATGCCTCTGTTTCAAAAAAGAAAAAAACGAAACTAAACTCTTGATAGTCATTAACTTTTCAATCTTCAAAAACTTTATACATCATATTTGATCATCAACTAAATAAACCCAACCCGATTTTGAATATGATTTGGTCTAAAGTCGATTCACTTTGTTTTTCGACAAACAAAATAATTCCCATCTCTAATTACTAATTATATATGTTTTTTTATTGCTAAAAAGTCACTAGAATTAAGACCTATGGCGGGTTTGTGATGATAAGTTTTGTATGTTATGGAACAAACACGGTCCAAGAGAGGTCTTCGGGCCGACTGAGTTTGAGTGGAGTTTTTTTTTACCAAACGAGTGTTTTTAGAAAAAATATTTACCATAGTATATTTTTAAATATATTTACCAAATGAGGTGATTGAAGTTTAAAAAAAAAACTATCTGCCCTAACTCCCATTCTTACTAAGGAACGAATACAAAGAACTAAAAAAATGACGCTCACCTTCATCTCTGACGACAACTTCCGATGACGATTCCACCATCTGTCACACCAGATGGTGCCTACTCTACCTCCCGCCACACCCCCGGTCGATTCCACATCTCCAGCCGATTTAATCACAGGTTCGATTATGTTTGATTTCTGATTCCATCAGAACCTGCAAATTCTTGAAATTCCATCTTCATTTTACAAGATTCTGATTTGATTAGTTTAGATTGAATATTATTGTCTATATTTGTGAGCCGACTGTGGTATTTGAAATTCCATCTCCAAATGAAACTTCCATTAATTCAGGTATACTTCACATCTTAATGATTTTCCCTTTAAAATTTCTTCTCTTTCTTTTTTTAGGATTGTGTTTTAGAAAAGGGTTCTTAATATTAAACTCCAGTGTTATTCTTGTATTTGCGAGCCTAGTGTGGTATTTGAAAAACTAATATGGTATTTCGAATTTTTCATTGAAGTAGATTATGATTGATTTTTGATTGCTTCAATATACCAGGTGTTATGTTGTTTGTTTTCTTATCGCTTCAATGGTGTGTGTTTCTTTTTTCCGAGTTTGTATCGTTTTCAGATTGCTTCAAGAAGATGTTATTTTCATATTGGTTGTGTTTGTTTTCTGCAAATTATACAAATTGAAGGTTTATTTCTATTTTTTTGATGTTGTTTTTGGTAGATGGATGCTAATGTCATATCAGACATTGTTCACAATGAGGATTTTTGCACAACATCTCAAGTTGCTACTCTAAGCAATGCAATAACAAGTGAAGTTACAATCATCAAATACCAACATCCAGAGCATTAGAGTCATTAGATACCATTGTACATATGAAGTTGCTTATGGGTTTGGGGGATTAATGAAGATTAGGCTACCACACGATAAAATTTTCAATTGTTTCCTTAATGTTTATTTACCATTGTTTACATATGAAGTTGCACATGGGTTTAACAAATTGGTTGTAGAATGTTAGACAATTTTTTAAGTTGAAAGGATTCGTATCTTTTAAAGTCAAAATTTCAATTTATAAGGCTGCAGGGTGCGTAGCGGGAAGGAAGAGCGGGAAGTGTTCCCGCACATAGGAACACAACAGGCTCTGCAGGAATGGGGGTGCGGGATAAGAGTGGGGGAAAGAGACCCCACATTCTCTCTCCTGTTTTGATTGGCCAAACTTTTCTTTTTTATGTTTCTTTCACTTTTTTAATATTTATTAAATTATATACCTACTAAAAATTTATAAAAAAAATATTAAATATCATGGTTTTTAATTCCATACAAAATGAGTATAATATTTGTATGAAATATTTTTTTTTATAAAAATAAAAAAAATAAAAGATATTGGAAAGTGACAATTCCCTGTGTTTTGGTGAAGGAAAGAAGAGTGAGGGAAAGACCAGCGTGACAATCAAAAAGTGAAAGATTGTTCTCGTACACACCCTCAAATCTAATCAACATCTCAGCTAATTTGTATTCTTAGATATGTCATCGAGATTGTATACAATCACAAGTTTACATATAATTTCTTTGGTTTGTCCATTTAAATTGTTTTACTCACGTGTTTGACATACGTATGTCTAGATTGCACAAGATAATTTTAATGGAGTATATATTTAGATTGAACATGACAATTTTAATAGCAAAAAGTTTAAATAAAGTCAAGCAAATTATATTAGAAAAAGTAATAGAAATAGAATAAAAGCTAAAATTTTAAAAAAATATAAAATTTTAAAACTACCATTATTTGGTAAATATTTTTAAAAAATACACCTATTTGATAAATAATTTTTTTAAACAGTTATTTGGTCAAAAACTCGTCCGAGTGAAACACCTGCGATGAGACTCAAAAGCAGTTCAATCTCAAGTCTCATCCACTATCTGGTAGTCCACCATGCCCGACCACCAATGCAAAGGTCCTTCATCAGCAAATTCTTCGCCAAACGATCGCATGATAAACGTATTCTGGCACGACGGTATGTTGGATCATGACACCGGCAAAGGAGTATTCGACACCGGAATGGACCCTGGTTACCTCGACGTACTCGAAAAGCACCCAGAAAACTCCGACAGGATCAGAAACATGCTCTCCATCCTCAAAAGAGGTCCTATTTCCCCTTTTCTTTCATGGCATTCCTCCACGCCTGCTCTCGTCTCCGAATTGCTCTCTTTCCATACTCCAGGTAACCCTAAAATTAACAGCATTTTCTTAACATATTATCCTAATCTGAACAGAATAAATGTACTACGGCTTTACACGATTCTTCTATATTTGAATATACAACGAGTATTACTACTTTGAATGAAATGATTCCCACTGAAACATAAAAAGAATTGGTATAAAGTTTGAATTGTAAGAACACATCTTGAATCTTATAATGACGGTATACCCTAATTTTGGGAGAAACACGCAATCATCATTCTAAATGATCTAATATTGCTACCAATAACTTCCCTAAAGCTTCAAACATCTTGTTGATTGATTCTTGCCATTTACCATCGATGTGTTTTCAAAACTAACAAATTAATTTGACAAATTTCTCTCCCGCTCCTTTCATTCTATTATGTTTAATTTCTCCCCTTAATCAAACTGGTATTCACCTCACCGACACTTTTTGCATTCTTTAAAATTTTTTGATTGTTGAATAAGGGAAAAATGACACTATATCACAGTAAACTCTGGTGTTGTTTGTTTTGGAAGTGGCTAAATGTCTTTTGTCTTTTTCCAAGTTTGCAGAAGAAGACGTGTACTTGCGAAACGTCTACCCGCCAGAAGGGAAAAGTGCTCAAAAAGTACTTTTGTAGAAAAACAAACGAGGCCTTTTTTTTTTTTAATCCATAGGTCGTTAAAGTATCAAAAAATCCATTTTTTGGAACACGCTGTCAACAAAGCTTACCTGACATCCATATGGTTATTATTATTATTATTATTATTATTATTATTATTATTCACCTTCCACCTCCCACCACCACCGCCATCACTACCACCAGCCAGACAAGCACGATTTCCAAAAACAGATAACACCACTTAGGTAGTATAACAGGTGGTTTATTGTTGGCTGTAGAGAATTTATGGTGGACTGAAGTATTGTTGCCTCTTGATCGTAAATTCTACACAAATAACACCATTAAGAAGGAGACCGGTCACTCAAGAACACAAATTGTCAAAAAAATGTATATCTTACCGCCATTAACACTAATGAAATCATCATGACAATCTGATTCTAAGCATGCTTGTGAGTCGAAAAATGTATCCTCTTTACTACCCACCCGCAACTCAAAATAACAAGATTAAAACATAGAAATTAATCACCACCAAAATCTAGAGATTTGGATTGATTACATTACCTTCAAGAACTTCACCTGAATCGCTCTCGAAAGAAACAAAGATCCTGCCAAGAATTGAATCGCTTTCAAAGAAACCCAGATAGATCGATACTGATGAAGAAGATTAGCTATCACCATCGCTGTCAAACAGGGCAGAAGGTTCACCCCTTTCTGCACCATATAATGATAATCCAACCAAAAACTCAAAATCCAGTTTAGCTCATGTGTTCCTTTTATTATGTTCAATAATCTAACCGAAAACTCAAAGATCTAGAATGAAATTGGAGCCAAAAACTCAAGAATCAAATCCAAACCTACAAGAAAAATCTTTCTACAGTACAGATATGTGAAATCAAGAATCGGCGATGAAGAGCACGATACGATTACAAAAAACTCATTGCCGATGAAGACGGAGCTTTATTGAAACTCACCGGAATGTTACTTTCCGGGAGGAAAGACGCCGTCGCCGATTGTTGGATTTTTCAACACACATGCCGCCATAGGAGAGAATTGCTGTTTCAAGTGACAAAAAAAAAAAAAAACAAAAAAAAATCTTAATTTAGTGACTAAATCGTGCCAAAACAAAAACAAAAAACGAGAAAAGATAATAGATCCTCCGTTTTAATATCACATATCCTATTTTGACACCAAGAAATGAATTCCAGAAATAGAAAAGAATGTTGAGAAAATTCAGCTGAAATTTAAATTTGTAATAAGAGTCTTTGACTTTGATACCCAGAATCAGATATTCTAAGGGACCCTAACCTAATAAAAATGATTCCAAATGTATTAGAATTTGAATGTTTGAATTGAAGGTTGATGACTTATGAATTGTTATAATTTTTGTGATTTTCCCTTGAATAAATGATGCACCTGATTCTTGAAATCATATGTTTTTTAAATGAAGCAGAATATATCAATTCCCTAATTGAAGCAGATAAAAATGGAGGAAAGGAAATTTGTAGTGGGACATTTCTGAATCCGGGATCATGGAAAGCTGCAGTTTTAGCTGCTGGGACTACAGTTTCAGCAATGAAGTATATACTTGATGGGCATGGGAAGATATGCTACGCACTGGTTAGGCCACCTGGCCACCATGCTCAGCCTACTCAAGCTGATGGATATTGCTTTTTAAACAATGCCGGCATTGCAGTTCAATATGCTTTGAACTCAGGTGGTGGTTGTTACTTGTTTATACTGATCTTGAGTTGTTCATTAAACAAATTCCTTTCATTTGTGCTAATAAATCAGCTTCACAGTTATCCTTTAGTCTACATTAATGCAATCGTAGGTAGATTCCACTGAATGTTGTTCCTGTCCGTAGCAGAGATGAACTTGAATGCCTCCCACAAACTCAAGAAGCTTTATTTATATTTTCATTTTCACCACTTGATTTTATATAAAACTTTCTAATTACACTCCCTCATTTTCTTAACATTCTGTTTTCTACTTGAGTAAATTAACTTAATTAATTTTAAATACACAGCAAAAAGAACCATTAAAACCATCTTGGTGGCTGGTGATCACAATTCACATACAATATTGAAGTTTACTTTTTAATCTTATAAATAGATGAAAAAGATTTTATGATTTAATATTAAACTGGATGGTTCTACATATCTGTTAATATGAATTATTGAAATATAGTTTGGAATTGGATTCAGGGTGTAAGAAGGTTGCTGTTATTGACATTGATGTTCATTACGGGAATGGAACTGCGGAGGGATTCTACGATTCCAACAAGGTTCTAACGGTTTCCCTTCATATGAATCATGGGTCTTGGGGGACATCTCATCCTCAGACTGGAAGCATAAGTGAGTTGGGTGAAGGAATAGGATTTGGGTATAATTTGAATGTACCTTTGCCAAATGGAACTGGGGACAAAGGCTACAAGTATGCAATGAACCACCTGGTTCTCCCTGCTGTTACAAACTTTGAACCAGATTTCATGGTGTTTGTTGTTGGCCAAGATTCAAGTGCTGTAAGTCCATCTTTCAATTCATAATCTACCTGCTACATTTAATTAATTGCTCATGCTTTTCATAAGATAAACTAAAAAACAAAAACAAAAACTCTTATTACACTTTACAACATTCTATTTTTTAATTATAGTCTCTCTACCCATTGCTATCTATAACAGGGTAGATAATGCAAAGTACAATGTCTTAATAAGTAATAATATGAAAGTAGAATGAAGTACAATGCTACAACATTTTTTTTTTTTTTTTGGAAAGTACATTGTTATTTATTTCATTGACCCCTATAGAACTTAGGTTTGGGCCAAGGTTTCAGATGAAATGGATATAGTAGCATTTTTTATCTTAAAATGTAAGGCGACTAGGTGAGACTCAATATACTTACAACATAGTAAACTCTAATTAAAAAAAAAACATAAATAGTCTTAGATGTTGTTTCCATTTGACTTAATGGACTTAATGGCGACATTAAGCAATCAATCTGGACAGCTATACATGGTTGATTCTTTTTTACTTGATCTAGATAGGAGAACTTAATGCATGGCTTAATGTATTAAGACACTAACCTTTTACCCATCTTTTTTCCTCCCAACTCCTCACGTTGAAATTGATGAATATTGTGAAAAATGTAAGGGTAAAATGATCATTTGGTCCGGTTCAGAAAAGAAACAGACAGATAACCACTTTACCCTTAACAACACCTTAATATCTTTTGGACTTGATGCACAGAAAGGATGACTGAGTACAGTACAGAAAGTTAGGATTATTTTTGAAGATTTGTGAGGATTGTTTGCAGTTTGATCCAAATGGAAGACAATGTTTGACAATGGAGGGTTATAGAGAGATTGGGCGGATGGTTGGGAATGTAGCTGATGATCATTGCAATGGCCGCATCTTAATTGTGCAGGAAGGTGGATATCACGTCACCTACTCGGCTTATTGTCTGCATGCAACTCTTGAAGGTGTGCTTAATCTTCCACATCCTTTGTTATCTGATCCCGTTGCTTACTACCCTGAAGATGACTCATTTGCTATTAAAGCAATTGAATCAATTAAACAACACCAAATACATGTTGTACCATTCTTAAGAGACGCCAACCATTAGCTTATTATTACTTTTTATTCTTTAATTATTCTAATTTTGTTTGTTCTTTCTAAAAAAATTAATATAAAATATAAAATTTTGTAGTTTTTACAATATTCTAAGTATTTTGTTTATGTATAATTATAATATAAAATTATAAGAATTAGATTTGTTTATAATGTTTTTATAATTACTTTTTACAATTTGTTCCCATATGTATATTTAGTATCCAATTTATAAATTTCTAACGATTAATTGATTAGATTACATATGATATTGATGAGCCCAAACAAATGTTGGTTTTCCAAAGGAAGAGAAACAAAGCACGCCAAGGGGCAGCCCAATTCACGGGAACATAATCCTGGAGAATCGCAGAGGGGCAGTTTAGTCTTTTTACTTTTTTATTGTTGTGCACGTTTTAGTTGTCCTTTTGTGGTGTTAGCACTATCTCTGTCCCGAAAGGCCTTTTGGGGATCACTACCTGTCTGTGAGTATTTAACCCTTTATTCCCTTGTTGTCAAGGGTAGAGAATATTATAGTTATCTTTTTGATTTCTGGAGAGTTTCATTCCTCTCGAAAGAATGAACCATTATCTTTGAATGCAAGTTTTTATCTCATTCTTCTGTTATTAGTTGGATCTTCTGTTCAATTGTTATTCCTGCTTATCAACTGATATCAGAGCCTACTTTCCAGTGGGAGGCGCATCGAAGGTGGAGGAACAAGTTGGGGTGATTCAAATCCAACTCCATTCTCATGGAGTTGATATTCAAGAACTGAAACACAGGATGTATGATCTCCTCCATGGCCAAGACGAGATGAAGGAGAATATGAACAAATTGCTTGAAAGAAGTGGAAATCCAGGTGGTTCCGGCCAAAGTCACGGTGGTTTTAACGACGACGGACCCCAACTCATCTTTGGGTCGATGCCTCCCACTGAGACAGGGAGGGGAAGATACGAATATTGTCACCGTAAGATCGATATGCCTAGCTTCGATGGTACCGACCCCGACAGATGGATACTAGAAGCTGAGCGTTACTTTGCAATCTATCAACTAAACAACGGGGAGAAACTAGAGGCGACAATCCTTGCCCTCAGCGGCGACGCCCTTGCATGGTACCGGTGGTCTCACAATCAACAAGCGGTGGTGACGTGGGAACAGATGAAAACCCTATTCCTTGAGAAATTCCGATCCATTATTGGAGGAGACATCAACGAACATTGGAATTCGTTGGAATAAACAACTACCACCGAGTATATCCGATGTTTCATCGAGTTAGCGGCACCACTTGAAGACGTTCCCAACAGAGTTGCGATCGCTAGTTTCTTGAAGGGTTTGAAACTCGCTATCCGAGATGAGATGCATATGTGGGATCCATTTGATCTGGGCCGTGCCATGGGTTTTGCCCAACAAATAGAACAAAAGAACAGAAATAATCGGTCCAGCGGAGTTGGATCCTTAGGGTCTCGGAGCTATTTGACCTCTACAATTCCCAAACACGTAAACTCGATTCCCAACTCGTCGCTTTACAATCAATCCACCGCTCGATCTTGGGGACATGACCGTCGCTTGACTGCAACACAGATCCAAGAAAAGGGGTCGAAGGGCCTCTGCTACAAGTGCGATGACAAGTGGAGTAAGGGCCATCGATGTAAGTTACAAATCAATGTTATACTGCCGGATGAAAAAGACGACTGTGTGGAGAACGATTAGGAACACGTGCCACCAGGCGGAGCAGACCCCATCTTGAAGTCAACTGAAGTGGGGCCAGTCATCGAGGTTTCTTTAAACTCGGTAGCTGGGCTATAATCCCCAAGAACAATGAAGCTCAACAGGGAAGTGTTTGGCCATTCGGTGGTTGCCCCCATCGACCCTGGTGCAACACACAATTTCATTGCATCCAAACTGGTAGATACTATAAACCTCTCGGTGATGGACACGGAACCCTATGGGGTACACATGGGGACTGGAGACAGTGAGCAAGGAAGGGGGTGTGCAAAGATGTGTTGCTGTAACTAGAAGGGCTAGACATCATCGAGGAATTCCTTCCCCTTCGATTGGGAAGCTCCGATATTATTCTTGGAATGAAGTGGTTAGAAACCTTGGGGGAGACACAGGTTAACTGGAAGGAGCAGACAATGAAATTCATGGTAGGGGGTGAACAAGTTTGCCTTAAGGGGGATCCATCCTTGGGGCAGAGTCTTATATCCTTAAGGGCCATGACATGTGAATTCAAGAGGGAAGAATTGCGGATATTGGTTGAACTTAGCAACATAGAGACAGGTTACAATGAAGAGAAATAGGTTCCAGAATTTCTTAAACAAATAGTCTCACAGTTTGAAGACATTTTTCAAGAACCAACAGGGTTGCCTCCTATCCGACAATCTGAAGACCGAATCATCCTATAGGAAGGATATTGGTTGAACTTAGCAACATAGAGACATGTTAACGGGTCTTGGCGATTCGGTGTGGATTATCGGGCTCTAAATTGAGTCACGATCCGTGACAAGTTTCCGATACCCATGATTGATGAACTGTTGGATGAGTTACATGGATCATCGGTATTTAGCAAATTGGATCTAAGATCCAGTTACCATCAAATCCGAGTGAAGCCCGAAGATGTGCACAAAACGGCTTTCCGAACGCATTGTCACACCCCCAAACCAGAACGGCGGAAACATTCGGGGGCGGAGGACGTCATGTAAGTATCACAACACATGCAATATAGTAATCAATGTACAAACAACCATTGCATTAATAAGTATAAGTTTTACATATGTGTTTAAACATTACATATTTAAACATCAAAGTAGATACAGTAGAAGACAAGAGTCGCAGTACGGTACTAGGTAGTCTTCTCAAAAGCTTCGGGAGTGTACCTGTCTACTGGATTCCTGAGAATACAAGTTATTTTGAAAGAGTAGATCAACATTTAAGCTGGTGAGTTCATAAGTATTTTAGTTATATAAAGTATACTCTAAGTTCTTGGAAAAGTTCGCTGGTTCCTCCAGAAAATCCTATATTTCCTGATGTGATAAAATGATAACCTCAATAGTTCCCTCTGCAATTACTTAGTTTATACTAGTCATATATAACCTAATATTGAATGGACAGTTAAATGGGTGAATCTGCCCTAAGCCCACAACCAAACAAGGAACAGGAAGTAAGGCGGAAGTCACACATTTCACTGTCAATCAGATATTACTTATATATAACTCTGATATATAAACTAAGGAATTATAGAATTAGCCACTAAAGGTCCTTTATGTTATACTAGTTTAAAGAGAGTGAATGACTAAGTTCCATCTAATAAGTAGTTTTAAATCCCCATAAAACCGTTCTGATAAGTAGTTTCAAATCCCCATAAAACCGTTTCTGAATAACTACCCTAATATTAACCTGATTAATTAGGGTTTAAAATGTGATAAAGTTGTAACCATGCTGGACTAGAATGAACACGACGACCTACTGGTGTCGAAACTGAATATGTGACATTTGTCACCCTATGGCTGGTCTGCTGGACTGTAGCTAGCAGTCGGGATGTGGGATTGTCGATCCCGTATAGATCTATACACACAATGTCCGCTCTCCCTCCAGGAGATTCTGGTTACAAGGATATAACATAGCAAGTATTGCTATGTCCTGAAGACATACCATCACATTTTAGTTTGAGTAAAGATCGAATTATATCATTTTCTTGATAAAGTAATTTAGACCTCGTATACTTATTTAGAAAAATAGATTTCTCGTTTGTTTTTAATTTAGTTTGTATTTTTACCCCATGCTTGCTAACCCTGGTACGTTGTATTTGTACCCCTGTTAATGCAAACCCGATATGATGTATTATTACCCCGTGATTGCTAACCCTGGTACGTTGTATTTGTACCCCTGTTAATGCAAACCCAGTATGATGTATTATTACCCCGTGGTTGCTAACCCTGGTACGTTGTATTTGTACCCCTGTTAATGCAAACCTGGTATGATGTATTATTACTTCTTTAATATATTATCCATGGTTGTAGAAATCAGGATTAATCGGCGATTAATCGTGGATTAATCGCATGACATTCTCCAACCGTCGAGGATTAGGGCATTAATCGGAAATTTAGGATTAATCGGGTTTGGCGGGATTAATCGGCCTTGGCGGGATTAATCGGTCAACAAAAGTCAAAAAAGTCGAAAAAAGTCAAAAAATGTCAAAAAAATTTAAAAAAAAAATTCAAAAAACAAACTTTTTTTTTTTACTCCAAAATTTTCAAATTTTCAAATTTTCGAATATTATATAAAAATGTTGAGATTTTCGTATTTCTAAATTTCCAAATTACAATTTTTCTTATTTTCTAATTTTGAAGTACTTGTTTTTCTTAAGATATATTAATATTTAATTAATTTTAATATTTTATTAATAATCTATGGTCCTCGATTAATCCCCGATTAATCTCCGCCAAGACCGATTAATCCCTTAACACCAGTCGACCGTCGAGTTACCGTCGAGCGATTTTTACAACCTTGATATTATCTATATACTAAAAGTATTATACGTATCCTGGTGTAGATAAATGAATTGTTAGTACTTTCCTTTCCTAATATACTCGAAATGAAAAGTATATAATCGTGAATCATACTTGTATATTTAGTTTTGAATCATAAATTATACCTATTATAATTTATACGTTCTATCTTATTAGCATGATCTCTCCTGAATGTACCCCTTTGCTCAGCATGATACAAAGGTAATGATACCGACTGAAGTAATTTTTTATATTCCCATATGTATAATGTATATAATTAAGAAGGAAACGACCTTTGGACAAATAACCTCACCTCAAATCCACATCCAAATAAGGAAAAGGAGATAAGGCAACTCATTAGTCCTAAGCCCTTTAAGTTTTATTTATATACTTATACATATATGAACATGATATTGATAATTATAATTTGAAATAGTTTATAAAACCTTTTTCAAAGAGTTTAACAGTATTAAAAGAGTTTTAACAGTATTTCAAAAAGAGTTTACATGACTTTAAAGATTTAGCATGACTTTAAGTCATTTTGGAAGTATTTGGTAATCCTTAAAAGCATAAGGAAATCCTTTGTGTGATTGATATCACATACAATTATTAACACAATTTAGATTGTGTTCAACTTGTATCCCCCCCCCCCTAAAAAGCATTTAAAACCATTAAAAAGGTAGATTATAGAGGTATGAACTCACCTGATAAGTGGTGATTTGGGCAGCGTTTCGTTTCTATAAATGATATTTCTCGAAGAAACC